GATCCATTGATTGACATTAAAAAAGATCATAAAGAAGATACCAATTTAGAAAATTACCTAGGACTTGATTGAACAGGTTGTATGGATAAAAAGGAAGGAAGTGTATTTCAGAAACCAATACCATCATGAGATGTTGAGGCAATAGTTTTAGGTGTAAGTGAGGAAAATGAAGCTATATTATAGCAGGATCGACGGGTATAAATATATGTACTTTGAGGTGATGGAGCATACATAACCTGCAGTTCATATATGTCACTACCCTGGAAGCCTATATACTCATAGATTCTCCCACGTGCAAAAATATGTGGACCATACTTCCATCGTTTTTCCATTCCAAAGGATTTAACATTCTAAAGACCTATGGTGGAAGGATGAAGGTTCATATCGATTAGAAAGATTTTGTAATAAGCTTCAGAGTTTTGTATTACAGAAAGGAGACTATTAATGCGTAATTGGGTTGTCGTGACTGGGGTTACTCTTTGATTAGTGCAGTAATTCTTGTTTCCATGAATATGTTTTGAGATATGTGAGAACTATGAAAATAAAATATAAACGTCAACACACCAGTTATTAGGACTCTATTCGACTTTTTCCTTTGTATTAGGAGACCGATAATCCAAGCTCTGATACCAAATTGTCACGAACCAAAGCACCTTGACTTAATCCCCTTATCGGATATGTCCCAAATAAAGCAAGGATCCATAGGATTCCATAGACCTCATCTTGTCCATATTTCATCCAGTCTAGCCTAGCCTAAAATATTCAACTCCCCAACCCAAAAGTTTTGTCACTCATTTTCTTTTATGATTAGCTCACCCATTATGATAGGGAGCGTCATTACCATAAAACAAACTAAATATAATTGACCTATCTGATCAACAGAGGAGCATACACAATACATAATGTCAACGTATACCACTTGGTTCTTGAATTCAAGAGAGAATAATAAAGGAATAAGAGTTTAAGCAGATAATACGAAAAATAGATAATATTCGATTTCATACTTTTGTCGATGTAAATAATAAACTATGTTAATCACACACTTATCACTACTATTCATTGGATACAATTATCAAGCAAAAAATACAAATAAACGTATCTGATTTAGAATATCATTTACTAAATCAAAGAAAGGAATTTATTTTTTAAATAAGCTAAAACTCATTGACAGGATAGTAAAGGTTTAAACAATTTTGACTTGTTTTTATGAAAATAGAAAAAATGGGATAAAATAATTAGGGTTAAAAGAAAAGCATTTGTTTTGAATTTGGGCAGTTAACCGATCTGTGAACTTATAAATTTTAAAAATTGACATTCAAATCTTTAAGTGACTCATACAAAAAGGGTCTTAATATTTTATAAAGAGACTATTCACTCTCAAACTAATTAAAGAAAAGTCTTTAGAGAAAATTTGAATTTAACTATAGAAGATAGGGCTACTGTATTATTAGGAAAACAAGCAAGAGTTATAGCTGAAAAAATAACAAACAAAGCTAAGAAAAGATTCAAAAGGAAAGGGTTTATTACCTTTTTCTGAGCATGCAAATGTGGGCGATGAGATTGATGAATAAGCTTCCACCTTTGTCTTAATTAACTCTAAAATAGAAAGAAAAAATTTTGAACTAGAAAGTTATAGGCAGTGACAATGAGTCCAACATCCTATCCGAGTAAATATATTTTAGCCTTTGCGGCTTTGATACTGTTGTTCAAATAGTGAGAAGGAGAGAGTTATTTATAGAATTGAAATCTTTTAATTCTTAATCTGAACTTCGATGTGGGACTTGGGAAAAACTAAAATTTCCTAGAGGATAAGGATTGATGTTCGACAAACGTACAAATTCATACGATCTTTGAATGAAAGTTAAAGTCAAAGAAATTGAAAAAAAAAAGAGGTTAACATTGTGAACACTCTGGAATGCTTCTTTAGATGACTAGTGCAAATATATTGAAAAAGTGTAAGAAAAATAAATGTGGCCATATTCTATTATATAATTATCATATGACACTACTTTCACTTAATACTTCAATTACTATTAACATCATAAGTTTATTAATTATTATTAATATATTTCAAAAATAGTAATATTCAATCATTATTATGTTTTATATAGAGTTGAAGTTTAACTATATTTTACCAACATTTTAACAATAAGGAAATTTATACAAAAAGTATAACAAGGATTAAACGCAAATTATTTCTGAAGTTAGAAGGATAAATTTATTCTGTTTCTTTAAAAGTTAATAGGAAGATTATCACATATAAACTTCAAACATGTTGTTGTCAAAATATATTTTTAATCACCTTTATTTGCACGTATAATATTGTTTTATTATGTAATGTATTGTATCGTATTGTCCTTGATAAGTGCTTATACTCTTAGATGTTTTGATAATCTTCTGACAAGTGCAGGGACCTGGTCCTCTGCAGAGTATGAATACTCGTTCAGTTGTTCAAGTGGTATACAACTGTAAAAGTTGTTTGCCTCAAAGAGTTGGTGAAGATGCAGAGTACTTCACCAATCAGAAGCGACGCGGTTGTTTGTTTGATGGGTAATAACTCTTCATGATATATATCAAACAAACAACAACGATATTGACTCATTCATTTAAAGAGAGAAAATTTCAATCTTCAAAATAGCAGGGACCTGATAGAGTGCTTCATTTGCTTTCTGTACCAGTTATTACTTTGTTGCTTGTAATTGTGGTTATATTGTACAATTTGTTTCTCTTGTGATATAAACGTTTCAATTTTGTGTGAATCATGGTAAGAACTAGGTTAAGGATAACTTAGTGTCTTGCTTTAAAGGTATATATTAAACAGTCTGGAAACTTACAAACTACTGGAACTGACTCAAGAGTTGGGGTTTCAGAGCTAGAATCCTTAACCCGAACTAGATGATAAAGATAACCTTAGAGATCATCTTTCTGGCCTTAAGGTAAGAAACGAATCAACCCATAGGCTCTAAGCTACCACCCTTCCATTCTAAGATTGGTTCATCTGGAAATTGAAAACGAACAATCCTAGTTCTACAATCGACTGAGGCATAACAGGAATTTAACCAATTCATGCCTAGAATGACATCGAAATCTACCATTTATAACTCTACAAGATCTCCTGAGGTGACTTTCTGAGATATATTTCTATATACCCGTCTAGCTATAACTGGGTCACCAACTGGAGTAGAGACTAAGTAAGGTTATGAGAGAGCTTATGGACTAACACTGAATTGGACTGCTATGTAAGGATCTACCGAAGAAATAGTAGCCCCTAGATCTAACAATGCATAAACATCAAGGTCAAATACTTGTAGCACACTAGTAACTACATCAGGAGAACCTTCCTGATCTTGGCGAACCTGAAGAGCATAGAACCTGTTGTGGCGCTAACCGCCATTTGTACCAGATGAGTTACCCTGTTGAGTAGGGAGACTTGTTGGTGCTGCTGAAGTTGTAGACTGAGTTCTACCATTACCACCTCCTTGACCCTGTCTAGAAGGACAATCCCTTAACCTGTGACCAGACTAACCGCACCCAAAGCATCCTTTTTTCCTCCGAGACACTAGCGCGGATGGTTTTTACCACACTTAGGAAAAATGGGGTAAGTCTTGGTGCCTGAAACACTTCCATAAGACTTAGAGCCGGTGTTCTAACCTTCTGTTCATACTTATTCTTGGAGGATAGAACACTAGTTGACGAAGGGGCTGGAGCTGAAAACTTCTACTGACTCTCCGAGCGATTTCTACCACTCGATTTCTACTAAGAATAGTCATAGTTCCCAGTCCTAGCCTTCTTATTATCCTTAGTCTGTTCCCTAAGCTTATCCCCGTAATCATGCTGAGCATATGTCATAAGCCTACAGATGTTCATATCTCCCACTAACATAGCATTTCTGCATTCAATTTTCACTAAATCTGACACTCCATACAAAAACTTATTCATCTGATCCATGGATTCAACAACCATGTGAGGAGAATACCTGGAGATTTGGTTAAAATTCATCCCATACTCTTGCATTGTCATGTTACCCTGCCTCAAGTTCATGAATTCTTGAGCCTTTGCTTCTGTCGACTCTATTAGGGAAAACCTGTCAAGAAAGGTCTCACTAAAGCAATTCCAAGTTATAGGAGTTGCATCTGTACCCTTATTTTTCTTCCACTGAGTGTACCAGATATAAGCAACATCCTTCAACTAGTAGGATGCCAACTCAACCCGATCATTCCTAGTGACTTGCATTACCTCAAAGATTTTCTTGATCTTATCCAAGAAATTCTGAGGATCCTAAGAACTCAGACGGATTTATACTAACAAATTCACGGACCCTTGTTGATACTAATCCACCAATTTCCTTCACATGAGCACGAAGCCGATTGTTCTGGTTAGTCATACTCTGAGCCAACATCTGTATGGAAAAACTGAACTCAGCAGTGGAGACTATTTGATCTAGGACTGGAGGAGCTGCGTTTGCATTTCTGGCGTTCGCATTCCTAGTGTTAGCTCTACGAGGAGTCATGATATGAAACGTAGAACGTAAAGTTATAATGATATATGATCATACCTTACGCACAATAAGAATAACAAGAAAGTGAAGTTTTCCTAAAACACTTTGTACCCTCCCTCTCATTAGATGTGATGCACTCACACCCATGAAAAGGACTCTACTTAGTGCAACTTTTCTGACATCCTAGGACTATTCAACCTAGTGCTCTGATACCAAGTTTGTCACGCCCCGAGACTACCCCCAAGATGCGGACAGGGGACCTAGGACCACAAGTGATCCCAAGCTAACCCCGTTGGCATGAAACATGAGCATACGAAAGAATATAAATTATTATGAAAGCTAAATCATACTTCAAATGAAAATATTGGGAAAAACCCATATGCTAAATCTGAGATATATGAAAACTGAGGAGTTCAATACAAAGAAAATATTAACTCACTACTAAGCTCAAACTAACTATGTCTGAAAATGGCCTCTAAACTGGACAAGAAATATTGGGACAAGCCCCAACTAAGTCTAGCAAAAACTGAAACTAAATGACTAAAATAAAACTCATGACTGTTGTCCTCGGATAATGAGGAATCATCATTGAATCTGTTGAATTGGAGATCGGAAATATATCTATGCATGATCTGGAAGTTGAGAACCTGAACCTACATCACGAGAAAATGTAGCACACGTATGTGTCAGTACTTAAAAGGTACTGAGCATGTAGGCTAAAATAAAGATGAAATAAAACATAACTGAACAAGAACAAAATCAAGTATAATAATATGAACAAGATATACTGAATTCTGAGCTAATTGGATGCAATAACAAATTTATAACATACTGAAACTGAAACGGGCATAATTTTTTACTTGGAGGTATGATTTTAGCAGGGTCGATGGATATGGAAAGCTAATTTAATTATCTATCTGTGTGTATGTCATGGGACACCGACTTCATTTTGTGCTAAGAGTTATAACCATCTGAATTTGACCCAACTATATTTTCCCCCTAAATGTCTGCTATTTCTCATCTACAGTTAGACATACGGACCGTAGGTCAAACGATGGTCCGTGCTGGTCAATCGTCATTCGTATTAGAGAATGAGTAAATAGGATGTTGATCGATGGACTCAGACTACAGACCATAGGTCCATCCATCGTTCAACACATAATCAAATTTTCTGAACTGGAATTTTGGAAGGTTTCCGACTTAATCGATGGATGTGCAGGACGGAATGTGGGTCAGGATACGGTCCGTCAATGGCCACCTTTGATTGCACCTGTAGATTTTCTAAAAAACTTGTTTTTGGTCTGTTTTGGATACGGGGTGTTACAACTTAAAGTGGAGGTTAGCATGTCAATCTCATCCTGTAAACTAGCTTTTAATTTCGCTTAGAGAAGATTAGTATACGCAGTTTGAAAAGTCCTGTTGAGACAGGTTGTGATTTTACTTCCTTGAGCAATGAGGTTTCCACGTAAAGTTGTTGTGCAATCTTAACCTTGTCCCATGGATACTGGTGGATGCATACATTCCAAAATCCTATATTGTTTGAATACATTTTTAGATAGACTGTATGGTTCATCGACATTACATAAGGTCACATATACATAATTTAAAGTATGAATCTAGAGGAAAGTAGGATATAATATTGAGTGTCACACCTCGAGCCTACAATCTCATATGACCACTACTCTAAACTATATATGTTTCCAAGAAGACCCTTGATCTGTCCTACTTCATGTAAAAAATTTAAAAAACCAACTCAAAAACTCTATTTTTAGAAATTTGAGAACTGAATAATTTTAGGTGTTTTTAAAAAAAAGTAAAACTTAAATTCATCTTAATCGTCTATGAAGCTTCTAATATATTGAAGATGGGTTACAAGGAAAGAACCCAAGCTAACTGAATTTTTTAAGAACAACATCTAATAACCATTTATAGTCTAGGTAAATCAGAGCCCTCTGAAAGTAAGGAGGTTTCAGTAATAAAGTTGCATGAAAGTGAAATTCTAGTTATGCAATTGCTACTGATCCAAAGTACCTAAACTGCATCATGAAATGATGCAGTGCCAAATGACGTTAATATACAGAATATATAGTATGTAACTAGTTTAAGTGAAACAAGTGGCTAAAACTCAATACACCAAGTAAAATGAAGAATTCTAAAGATAGAATGAACAAACTCAATTGAATAACGTGTGCTTTAACAACAACTCCTTAAAACTGAATATTTATATAATATAGAAAATACCAAAAATAATATAATTTTATTTTTCTTAGGAAGTGTCTCCAAACCGATAACCATAATGTGAGTCTCATGGTGACACAACATCTTTCCCACATTTCAACTGATATCTTATACCTTGCCAAGGTAAAGGATTAACATAGCTAATGGATCCTATCTCTGATCTCTTATCAAAAACTTACTAATGAGTCTCCCGAATCTATGACATAGTTCTAAATTTAGGATTACATGAATTCTTACCCAACTTAGTGCTCAATACTACAATAGAAAATATACATTGTGCTTAAAAACTATAAAGATGTTCCACTTTAGGGAAAGTATCTCACTTTAGTGGAAAAAATGATAATATGATACTTTGAGTCTATGCTCAATAATCTTCTTCGAAATTGAACCAATATGAACCAACCATACTTTACTTTAAAACTTGATTCTGCTTTTTTTCAAATTTGACTATGTTTTTTTAATATTTGAGATATGCTTTCATTAAAGTTGAACACGTTTTGTTTGACAAATTTTCTATACTTTCTTTATGAAAATATGCATCTTGATGCAAAGTATACTTTCTCAAAATATTTCTAATGTAATGCACTAGAAGAAAAATATTCTTTTTCAAAACTCTTCTAAAATAATGCACTTGAAGCAAAACATACTTTCTTGAAACTCTTCTAAAATATTGCACTTCAAACTAAATATACTTCTTCAACTCTTTCTTGAAAGACTTTTTAAAAACTTGTAAAGTATTCCACTCATTAAAATAAAGTATATGAAATATCATAACAAGGTTATCCAATAACTTAGACTAAGAAGGGGCCATGAGGTAGAATAAATACGAGTACTCAATAAAAAATCATCAATGATATGAAAAGTAATAATTTCAATAATAGGATCAAGAATCAACAATTTGAAATAGGGAGAATTTGAAACAATAGACTCTGGGTAAAAAAAATATAAGCTTTGTATCTTACTAACTAAAATTTCTATCACGACTCAAGGTGGCCCCTAAGTGTAAAATGGCGTATAGGAACAGAGAGGCCCTACACAATCCACTCAGTGTTCAGCATACAAGAAAATAAAATAAAGAGATTTAAAAGATAGTTTCAACATATTAAGAGTTTTATAGGAAAAGTAGAAATCTAAACCTCGTCTCAAAGACATCTTGTATGTAAGAGTATATCGGGGTGTAGCCGGTGCATCAAGTTCTAAAACAAAAGTAAAGACAAAATGGGAATCAAGTTCGTTCCTCAGAATATAAGAACTCACCGAACCTCAATCTTCTATATGATATCCCTAGTCACGGAAGTGCGAATTTATAAGATATGTCCTACATTTGAGAAAATATAGGCAAGAGTATCCGTTAGTGCAAAATATGTACCAAGTTTGATCGTCAAGTATAAAACATTTGAAGACATAAAAAAAGAGACATTTTCATAGAGTCCAATGACCAAGATAAATCATGAATGTAAAAGAACTAGAAGACATAAGTTATAAAACATGGTCAATGCAAATAGACATCATTTTAATTCACTTGTGAGTTACTTCATGAAGTAACCTTACTTCATTACTATGGAAAATTTACCTTTAACCAATATATAAGATCATGTATGCTATCAACACAGCATTTGATATTACCACATTAAAAAGAAGTGTCCTACTTGCTGAAGTAAGACCATGAACTTCTAGCTTATGTGAATTCACTATCTAATTTCTACTAAGACAGTCATCCTATAGGGGCACTCAGATATGGAATAAAAAGATTGCTTCTATAGAGCTCCCATCTCAATATCCTCGCAGTGCTAGTAAATCCTACGAAATATAAATTTTCTTAACTAGTCTTTTATTATTCGTGAAAGAGCATGTCATCTTACCAATCCAAGCTAAGTCATATGTTATCCATGGAAAGGTACAATGAAGTAATCAATCCAAGCTAGGTTTTATTAGAATAACTCCTTTTATATGTTTGATTCATTTTAAGTAAGAAGATCTTTCAACCTTATAATCCTTAATGTGAGGAAACCTTTCACATTCATGCATGAGTTAGTTATGTGAGCAATCCTTTCACAACAATTAACCACAACAACATATATGCTTTTACTCTCAAAGAAATCTACCTCATATCCATAAGATCATGCATAATTCAATAATTCATCTTTCATAATTCCAGACCCACTTTCAATCATCAATATCTAGAAAATGGGGTTAAGCATGGTTTCATCGGGGTTAACCTTAAAATAATGAGATTATATCAATTATGCATAAAAATTCATAAATAAATTAATTAAATCAACATTTAAAAGAACCCATGACATAGACGAAAAACCCTCAATTGAGAATATCTAACTTTATAAATTGGAAAATTTAGGAACTCAATGAAGCAAAGGGCTCCATGGATAAAAACTATCATACCTTATAGTTCAAAGCCCACAATTGATGGTGAATTTGGAGACTTGATCTTGAAATCCTAATCTCTTCTACAAGTTTTTAGAGAGAGAAAGTTTTGGAGAAGGAACTTGGAAGAATTTGGGGAAATTAAAACAATGATTTAGAATGGTTAAATTTTAGGCTTAAAATACTTATATAGGGTCTAGGATTAGGATTAAAACAACCTAATTTAGGTATTAGATGTATAGGAAAAGACTTATATAACCTTGAAAAAATAACTACTGAGTTTTATTTTCTCTAAGTCAATCTCCATGGATGGGTCTACCGTCCGTGCACCATTCTACAGTCCTTGAACATGTAAATCATTGCCTTAGAATAACTTTTACAAGTCTTGGGTTCAATCATAAGTTCACTGACTGTGACTCTTCCACCTTCCTTGAACCCTTCCTTAGACCCTTGCTACGGAATATTTTTCAGAGGACTAAGGTTCAAGAATGGGTTCACTGGCTGTGGACTTCCACTATCCTTGAACCCATCCTTAAACCCTTGTCTTGGAATATTTTTTGATAAAATGATCAAAATGGTCCTTGGTGTATAGGAGTTGAAGTATTTTGGTCCTTTTTTATATATCATCTTATCCAAATAGTCCTTATAGTATACGTAAAGATGATCATTTTAGCCCTTAGCCCTAAAACTAACCAAAAAAAAATATTAAATTTAACAATGGGTCCTGGTTCTACAACATGCCAAATTTTTTTTTAAAAAAATAATAATGAAAAATTAGTAAACTGCTTCTTCCTCAATTTTTTTCTTTCACCATCACCATGGCACCCTTCTCCCTCAACTTCTTTCATTCACAAGGTCATACTTCGTATCCTTGTAAGAAAAATAATACAAACTACATTCATTTCTTATCTTTCGTTAGAAAATTTTTTTTGACCAGCTCCTATTTTCTTATATAAGAAGAAGAAGAAAATCAAGATCGCTGAAACAAAAGTTAACCAAGTAAATCAGTTAAGATACTCCATTTCTCCTTCATATCGCCATAAATCAATTCCTTTTAAGTTGTAACTAATATCCTTTTTGTTTTATCCTTTTCAAAATTACGAGTATTTTTTCCAGCATCTTTATTCATTCCATTTTTCATTAAAAGGATTAAAATTGAATGGCCAGAGCTAGAAAATAAAAATCTTAAGAAAATTTGTGTCTGTATGAGAGAATTTTATCAATAGAAACAAAAATAGATCATTTGAAAATTTTAAAAAAAATGGTTGACAAAAACCGATGGAGGAGAAGAGATTAAGAAAGAAAGAGAGAGGAAGAAGGTTCCACCAAGCGTGGAACCACCATTAAATATAACAATTCTTTTTATTTTTTTGGTTTAGTTTTAGGTCTAGGGACTAAAATGGCCATCTTTTCATATACATTAAGGACTATTTGGATGAGATGATATATATAAAGGACCAACATACTTCAACCCCTATACATCTAGGACCATTTTGATCATTTTCTCGATATTTTTCATAAGGCTTGAGTTCAAGGATGGGTTCAGTGACCGTGGACTCATCCACCATCCTTGAACCCTTCCTTAGAGCCTTGACTTGTAATGTTTTTCACAAGGCATGGGTTCAAGGATGGTCACTGACCGTGGACTCTTTCGCCATCTTTGAACCTTTCCATCATTCTTGAACCCGTCCTTACAAGTCTTTTTTCGAGGTGTTATAATTTTAAAAGTAGGGCTTGAGGATGAACTATGGTTAACATGTTACTGGATTTTGATGGCGAAGATAGTAATTTTCGTGGTCCTCAATATGGATGAACTTTTTTAATACTTGGATATGAAGGATATATGCGAGAATAACAAAAAGGACCATGATAAGATGAATAACAAAAGAGTGTCAGAGAGGAATATCATGGTTATTCACTTTCTATTCTCAATTTGTCTCATCTATATCCATATTCAGTCATCGAACATAGAGATATTCAGAATCTTCTAAACTCATTCGCAGATAGGGAATTTAATGTTCAAATGTAGCTTTATCTTAATAAAATATCACCATATGAAATGGAGAGAATGTTGAAAAGGAAGGAAACATATGAATATGTGAGAACTTACATGATAGACTTCAAAACTCTAGGAACGAGTGGTTGGTGAAATTTGAGTTAGTAATGGTGATGAATTTGTCAACATAGCCTCACTAATGATCTTCATCTAGGATCATTATAATGTAGTTTTTTCCTCAATTCATGAGAGTAATGATTCCCCCACTCACTATTCTCGGGAAAGATAAAAGCAACAAATGGATTATTGAGAAGGATTGATTGGTCTCAAGAGCCCAAGCCCAAAGATTTGCAACAGCCCTCAAAACCTTTGGCCCAAGTTGACCCAAACACAATGTGAAGGTTTTTCTAAATAAGATGATCACCTTATCAATTGCAAGATTCAAATCCCGTGGAGAATACATAAGTGGAAGCAAATGAATATTCAAGATTTAGGAGGGTAATACTTTTAAAGTCCCCATGAGCGATTATCCAGAACTTGTCTTTCGACTACTTCTAGTTGCATAGGGAAATAGGAATATTCGACTACCTTATTAAGAAAACATATTTGTGGACTGCTTTATCTCTTTCTTTTTCTCTCAACATGGCTACTTTGTCATATTTTAAAGTCATCCTAGATGAAGTAAGTCTTGAGGAACTATGTTATCAACACAAAGTTTTGGAAGAGTACTATCACTTATTTTTCTTCGGGCCACCCTAGATGATAGAAGATTTGCCTAAAATAGAAAGGGATGAATATGGAAGGTTAAGAGCGAGGAATAAAAGATAGCGTTCTCTCTCTGTATATATTTGTCTGTATGTGTTTTCTTCTTTGAGCCACCCTAAATGACAGAAGATTTTCCTAAACTAAAAAGGGATGAAGATATGGAAAGTTAAGAGCGAGGAATATAAAATATATCTCCCTCTCTCTGTGTGTGTGTGTGTGTGTGTGTTTTCTTCTTCGGGACACCCCACAGAAGATTTACGTAAACTAGCAAGGGATGAATACATGGAAAGTTAAAAGAGTTGTAATAAAAGCTATCCCTCTCGCTGTGTGCGTGCGCATATGTGCGTGTCGTGAAAGGTTGTAATGAGCATAAAGATTTCAATTTATAGACGCAAGAAAGAGTTAACTATTCCCTTGAGTGACACAACGTCATTAGACCAATGATTAGGCTATGTGTGGCAGGTGCATTTAAGGAAATTGGGACCATTGTCTTTTCTAATAGATTAGACTATCGTCAGGTTGATCTATCATAGAAATTTATGAAGATTTATTATAGAAAACTCAATGAAGTTGATTCGGAAAAGTAAGATGAGATCAAAATTGGCCTTAATGAGTTTCCAAAGACATCATAATGATTGTCATAAATGTAAGAAGAGGAATTGTATGCTCATGATGTTGGGACATATACAAAAGGAAGCATATGCTAGATATTTTTTATCATACAAATACCATCAATATAGATCAGAGAAATATAGGTTGACACTTGACACCACTAATGATAATTTCACATAGATAACAACTATTTGTAGTAGTACTTTAGGGCTTGTGTAAAACTTTTTGTCACCGTCCGATTTTACACCTTGGACGTGGCCGACACTCAAGAACCATTGTTGGTCCCCAATTGAACTCTCATCCAGGTTGACTACAAACAGAAGACTAACTTAAGCATGCAAAAGCTTAAAACTGAAATAAAATTCAATAAACTCAACTTTACAAAGCTTTAACTCAATTAAACAACTCTGAATAAAAACAATATATTCAACTTGCTATAAAATAGGCAAATTAAGTCTTTAATATATTTAATAAAATAAATGAAGATTTCTGAAATTCTACTATCTATTTATGAATCGTCTAAATGACAATGATGGAACTCGGGACAAGGCCCACAACATCCTAACAACTGATATAACTGAAAGGTAAATGAAATCCTCCGAAGTAAGGAGGCTCACCATATCTAACTCGAAAGCTCTATTATATCAATAAAGATACTATTAATGATCTTGAATACATGTGTCTGCATCATGAGAAGATGCAGGTGAAATGGTTCAGTACGTGGAATGTACGAGCTTGTATGAGGAATTCTAAAACAAAGCATAAGCTTGAAGTTGATAAAAATGGAATCATACTTACCTCTTTTCAAACTTACTCAACTCAAGAAAATACTTAAGGATACTAAAAATTACTCAATTTACTCAACTCAGAAGCACTCAAGGGTAAGATACTCAACTCATAGATTAGAGACTCAACTTCAAAGATTTGATACTCGACCCAATAAAGCACATAACAACTCAAGATAGTCAACTCAAAATACTAAACTTCTGATACTTAACTAAACTCATTTAAATGTAAAGCATTTTAAACAAGTGCAGCATAAAAAAAAGTTATTTAAAACATGATCTCAACTCATAATCATAATATCATAAAAGACATACCATGTTCCCTCTCAAAGTCTACTTGTGAAATGAATGAATAAAGTTTCATTCCCCCATTCATACTAAAAATAACCCCTTGAGAAACCATGCAATTACTACTTTGGAGTTTATCTACCCGAAAACCACCACTGTGAGCCTGATGGTGATATAGTGACTTGCCCACGCTGCCAGAACTGTGCTATACTTTACCATCATATAAAACGCTTAACTTAGTGGATCCACTAGCTTAACTTAAGTGATCATCTAAAAAGTATGACCTTTTGATAACCATGATGTCTACATGGTTTATGGAGATTTGAGTTAATAAGAACTCGCATTCCCATATCGATGCTCAATACTACTCCCAAAAATATACTTAGCTCATATGTTTTTAAAATCACTTATTTCTTTGGTTTGAGATAATTAATCTAAACTTCTCTTAAAATATCTGTTTTGGAATCGATGTTCCCTTTCTTTCTCAAATATGAAAACATTTTAAAACTGTTTGGGAATACATAGTACTTATATACTTCTTTTAAGAAATGACTTCAATCTATACTTTTTACTCACTTGAACTTTAAGTCTTTAAAACAAAATGAAAACGTTTGTGAAAGACTTTTGAATTTTTTATAAACTTTACTTTGACTTGCTCTTAACATCTGGACTTGACTCTTAACTTCTCTT